ACAACCTCTGGAGGGGCTGTAACCCAACCTCCAGTGCTAAACCACCCACTGAGTTTGGAAGGTCCTTCCTGGTAATTAGCCTAATGCTGTAATGTAAGTGAGTCTGTTACTGTTACTGTCTACAGACATCACCTCATAAAGAAGAGTCTCTTACGTGGACAGTGGCTGAGACCTAGTGGCCTCCTGAGTGTACTACAGCTGGGGACCCCAGCTCAAGTGGGGGGTTACTCACAGATGGAGATTCATAGATTTTTCAGGCCAGAAGAGGCCATTGTCACCATCCTGTCTGATCTCCTGTGTAGCACTCTTCCCCCAGCAATTCCTGTCCTTCTCCGTGACAATCCCCAGCCTCTTGTGTTTACTTTTCCTATATCTCCCAGACAATACTTACTACAGGAGCTTTGTCCCTTGCTTCAGAGGATGATAAAAGTGGTGATCTTCCCTACTGCGGTGATGTGAACATGGGCAGCGTACTTGACCCTTTAGAAGCTGAACAGCTTGCGTGTGGCAACAACGACCCTATGGAGACAAGCCCCCTGAGTGACCCATCTCCCACCTCAGCCTCACCAAGAACAGCACTTGCTGAGTGCAGCCATCCTCATCCAGGAGGTGGGAGGTCAAAGAGACCACAGACCTACTGCCTGCCCAACAGGAAGCACTCTCTGAGCAGATTTTCTCCTGTCCAGGCAGGGATGATCAAGACAGGATTATCCCCATCTAATGCATTTCATCTAAGTATTTGGCTAAACTGCTCTTAAAATCTTCCAAGAATGGGGATTCCACAACCTCCTAAGTAACCTCTCCAAAAGGTCATCGATGTTTGGGCTTTGGAGATGGAAGAGACCCACTTGGCTACAGTCCTCTTCAGTGTTACTACCTGGGTTGTTTAGCTTGTTCACTAAGAAGTATGGCTCAACAGGCCATCCTGTGTCTCTCCCAACAGTGCTAGTCTGCCCTCTACAGTACATGAGTGTTATAAAGTATACTAAAGCTAACTCATCTGGCCTGGTTTTCATCAGCTGGACTGAGCTGTAAATAGGCACTTGGTCTCTCAGGCTGGGGAGACAAACACAGCTAGACATGACACTGGGCACATTACTGCCTCATGTACCACTGGCTTCAGGCACCCATGTGCTTTAAGCCTGCTCATCCCATGAACTGCTTAGTTTGGGCAGACTTAACCTTTGCCAGCTGGAACATATCACACTGGGGCTGTGGACAAACCCCAGTAACAATTCCTCCTTGGCAAGAGGCCATGTCAGGAAACCCAAAGCATACAGCAGGGGTTGTGCTGTTACCTTTTGTTTCTTCCAAGGTTTACAGCGTTGCCTGCAGAGAGAGGCCATTGCACAGCTCATCCTTCTCTGGTGAGCGAGCAATAGTGGGTGTAACAGAGAGCCTGGGGCTCCCTGTTACTTCAAGGTAAAGGCAGCCCAGCCAGGGAGCTCTGCAAGCTGGTTGCCAGGGCAACAGGCTACTGGGCTATCAGCAGGCACCTGCGGCGGTCAGCGGACCAGATGCAGGCAGGGCCCGAGGAGCTTATAAGCCCAAGGCTGAGGCTGGCTGCGGGGAGTCTCTCCCTGGCTGTCACAGGGGAAGGAGCACCTGCCCAAGAGAGCCACCCAGGGGTGCTGGACTGACCATTTGCTGCCTACAGGACCAGGGAGGTGCGGGGAACTTGAGAGGTACCCTGGCAGGGAGGCAGGCTGTGGCAGGTAAAGGTTTTCCCTCTTAAAGGGACAGAGGGCTGCTACTTCGTTATTATTTTGTTATAGCTTATGTTATGTTGTTGTTACCCTGGTGGTTTGGGAGGAGGCTGGAAGTGGCATGGAGGACTCATTAGTGTCCAGGGGGCACTTGACTGCCTTGTGCCCTGCCAGTGGCAGGCTCAAGGCTCATGCAGTTATTGAGTCCAGGGCAGGCAGGGAGAGGAGACACAGCCAGACGGGGGCCGGGGGCCCAGCAGGCAGAAGCCAGGGGCCCAGTGACTGGAAGGGACAGATGTAAGCTAGTGCCTTAAAGCCAGGTCTGTCACAGTGGGCCCAGGCTAGAAGGCCTATCTAGATTAAAGGGGTCCCCACACAGCGGGGCTGAAACCCCACACAGGGAACAATGTTTCTGTAATACCTATGAGACATGGGGTGTGGTCAAGGGGAGGATTTTGAGCCATGCAATTAGCCTTTAAGGCAGGGATAGGGAACCTCTGGGCCACCGGTTGGCTGGGGACTCCATTTCCCAGCGCCCTGCCCGCATGGCTTGTGCCAGTCTCCATGGAGACCTCAGCTGCGCCGGCAGCGCGCACAGCAGAGCAGCACAGGGGGCTGCTCCAGAGCTGCTGGGAACATGGGACAGGAAGCTGGGGGGTGCTAAAACAGCCTTCCCGTCCATCCTGCAATGCTGAGCTGAGGGGGACGTGGCCAGGCCCTGGCAGGACACTTTGATTAGGAAGGGGTTCCCCCCCCCCCCCCACTTACCTCCCCCGCAGGGGGTAGCCCCCACATCTGACCAGCCCAGCAGGGAATTGATAACACAGTGTTTATCACCCCTAACTCAGTGTTTATCAGCCTGTTAAGAAAACAACAGAGGGACATTACCAGCTACCTGTTGATTCTGCCTTTGTCCTGTCTGCCACAGCATGGACCATAGCCAGCATGTGGCGTGCTAGCTAATGCTGAGAGGAGTCTGTGTAAGGCAGAGGGGACAGGGAGGGGAGTGGGGGAGCAGGGAGAAGCTAGGCAGATGCTCTCTGCCAAGCTCCAGCCAGGGAGCAGAGGGGAGGGTCCCACTCTGCTGTGGAACAGAGAGCTCCACCCAGCTCAGAGAGCATGCCAGGATGCTGGGGGAGTCTGGTTTAACTTAAACTAGCAAGGGGTCTGGGACAGACATTGAATAAACTGGTTTGACTCAAATCAGTTTAGTCTGATACTACATTCAACCAGGTTTATCTCAAACCAGTTTCAGCCATTTTCAAACTGGTTTATGTGCACTGAACATCTGTTCTGTTACAGGTTTAAACCAGTTTCTGATCACTTAAACTGGATTATGTGTAATGTCTGTCCCTAGCCTATGAGAAACTGAAGTCTCACCAGAAGTGGGCACAGGCTGGGCTTGCCCACTTACAGCCAGACTCTGTTAGACGTGTGGAACCCCATTCTCCCAATGGGAGTTGGGTCAATATATGAGAGGCAGCATTTTGCCCCTACTCAGCATTTCTCTGTGCAAGGAATTATTTATGTCTGCAGTTCACAGATAGCACTGGGCCTTCTCCAGTTCTTTTTCAAGCTCAAGTTAAAGTACTAGTGGGATCTGTGTCTGAAGAGAGAACCAAAGTCTGCCTCTCCATCTTTCACCCTGACAGCTGAGGCCAGCCACAGACATGAGACCAGAATGTCTTTGACCTAGAAGCACAGCTTTGTTAGCAGGGGCACAGTATTCACTTTATCCCAGGGTGACTTACTGTAGATACAGTAAGTGCTGTGTGTCCTCTCTATAGTTAATTTTCCCCAAGGTACCCATTACTTCATGCAGATCAGCTCTCTTGCCACCTACTAGCTAGGTGCTGTAATAGCACATATTGCCAGCCTGGTCATGGGTCTTCTTTTTAATGGAGTAAATGTACTATAGGGTAAGATGTAAGGTAGATGACTTTATAGTGTCAACAGTTCACACCCTAAGGAAGCAGTGAAAAGGCAAAAGCATCTCAGTGCCTGGGAACCATAACTTTCGGTTACTTCCCTGAGCAAGCAGAGTCTGCCAAGGGTCACTTCCAGCACATAACTATTCCTTGAAAGACAATAACAGGTCCTCAGGGGGGACAGTAAAAATGCTTTGTCCTATATCAAGAACCCATTGCCAGGACTCTGTCTACACAACATCTGCAAAGGAGATTGATGCTTACGTCCAACAGGAATCCTACCTTCACAGAGTTTGGCTCTGTGACCAGCCACCCTCCTTGCTGAGCTGGGAAGCAGTGCCTGGAGTGTGGCCAGTAGCTATAACAGGAAGCTGGGAAGAAAAAAGAATGTGTCATCCCCAGTCCTTGCAGCCCTGCCTAATAGCTCTCACTGTGCACTCACAGCTGTGCAGACTGAAACCTTGCCTCACTTCACTGACTGAAAGGTAGTGATTGGATTTTACTCCATGATGGTACAAGTCATTTTCATGGGAGTCCACCTCTCCCCACCCCTAGGTGGGAGGCTCCAGGGTCTATCTAGTTAACTCTCAGCCTAGACAGCATTACCAACTGTGCCCTAAATATAGCTCTGGGAATCCTACCACCTCGAACCAGAAAGACAGATAGATCCATTCTCTAACCCTAAGCCTAGCTCAAACTGTCCCCATTAGTCCCCACCTGAGCAGCCTGACCTCGGGTACTAATTTGGAGAGGCCCAAAATACGATTGCTAAGCTGAGATGAGAGATCCCTATCTGCCGTATGCTCCACTGGAGCAAGAGACACCTTCCCAGCCAGTCTCCTGACTTCAATGCTATGAGCCCACCCCCAACCCCAGGGCTGGGGGTCCCATGGTCTATCCCACTAACTCTGAGCCTGGACTGCATTACCTACCGGTGTCCTAAACATAGCTTTGGGATGGTTACAAACAGGGCTCAGTATAATGAAGCTGGACCATATTTTAATAAATTTAAATATTAATTTAGTATCGGGCCCCCTTTGCCAGAGATAATGATAATAATAATTATTATTATTTTTACCATTTTTGGGCCCCCTTCCTGTCTGGTCCCTGGGCAGCCATCCAGTTTGCCCATGCCTGTGTCCGGCCCTGAGGGCAGGGGCATGCACCTGCCAGCCTTGCTGGACTCTTCTGCCTGTCCGACCCCCGCGCTCTTTCCTGCCCAGGGCAGGGGTCGGACTCGATGACCTACTGAGGTCCCTTCTGACCCCAGCATCTGTGAATGTACGAGGAGGCAGTAATACTGGAAGCCAGCAGATGGCACCCACTGCATTTTGAAAAGCTCCTGCTGCTCCCAGCTCGTTGTTTTGGCCTCTGTAGCAGAGCTGCGCAGACCAGGAAGTGTCTTTGCAGCCGGGAGCAGGGGCTGGGGCCTGCAGGTAGGTATTCCCCACTACATCCCTCCCTTCCCCCTGGCACAATGCATCTGGCCACCTCTGGATCCCACTGGCTTTTGGGGGTTGCAGCGAGGCTGGCATCTGTGCTCGAGTCCCACCGACCTGGGAGCTTGTCAGCACTGTACAACAGGAGCAGGGCAGCCCTGCTGCCCAGAGACCTGCTGAATCCCGGCAGGGGCCACCAGCTGCCCTGCTCGGCAGGCCTGCCCGAGGAGTGGGCCCGGAGGTCCCCAGGGGCTTTCCCTCCCCTTCACAGAATACCCTGGAGGCTTCGGTAAATGGCTGTGGGCTCAAGACCTGTGCCCTGACACCTGTTTGCAGCATGGTACGGTTGTGCTTTTCCAACATGCTTGGGGCTCAGTGCCAGCCCGCTTCCAAAGTCCTGGGGTGCAGCAAGAAGGGAAACGTCCTTAGTGTCACACCCTCTGCTGGCAGCCCGGTAGATGCTCTGTCTGGCTGGCCCTGTCACACACATGCACACATACATGTGTCACCTACAGAGCCGCCCAGGCTCTGCATCCAGTGCCTGTTCCCTCTGGCACCTCCCTAGTAGTTGAGATCAGGGCTGATGCGGGAGCTGGCAGTCCCTTCATGTACTTGGCCAAGAGCAGGCTGCTCTCAGCATAGAGATGAGAATCTAACCCTTGTCCCTTGTTCTGTCAGGGTTCAGCGCAGGTGATCTCTAGAGGCATGTTGCAAAGCAAGGTCGATAGTCACTCAGGCTTTCCCTGAGCAGGGATGGGCTCTGCTTCTGTGAGCTGGGCCGTGGTTTTGGGCCCAGTACTTCAATGAGTTCCAGGCAGGGATCCCCATAGCTGACTTCCCCCCTGCACACCCCAGTTCCTTACACTTTGGTGCGTGACTTCGGCAAGTTGCTCAGCAGCAGTGCTGAATTAAAACTGAGAGCTCTTATGTAATTCCCTGGACAGTAATGGCCCAGGATCCTCACTCTGGCATTTGTTCTGCTCAGAGAGATTAAAGTGATTCAGTCAAGGTTGCAGGGACTCAGAGGCTAGAAACGTTGCAGAGCTCAGGAATACTGTCACCGAGTGCCCTGCTCGGACCAGCTGCCACCTTCCCCAGCATTACCAGAGAAAGCCCCAGAAGATGCTGATGCTCCAGGATCTGGGGAGAAGCTACGGCAACTGATTGCTCACTGCAGTCACAGCTGTGTGGTAACTCCTCCTATACAAGATCAAGGCCCTGAGGGAAGCAGGAGACTTGAGAGTGGAGTTTGGGCCCTGCGATTTCTGATTTGCATTTCTCACCATCATGTGTTTGTCTTCTAGGAGTCCTACTCAGCCTGCTAAGAGTGAGAAAGCGAGTCTTAGTCCCAGCCTGACTTGCTGGACAAGCAGCACTGTGATAAGCCTCCATCAGAGAAAGGGGACATTGGGAAGTCATCTCTTTGCACGCTCCTAGAGAACCAGCCCTTCCACGCACGTGGCTCTCCCAGAGCTGCGTGAGGGGATCTCAGCTCAAGCTGCCAGGGTTTGTTGGAAGAATGGGCTGTGCTCAGATGGAAGTGAACCCTACGAGACACTGGCAGAAGGTGCTGTATGAGAGGCAGCCTTTCCCAGATAACTACGTGGACCAGCGTTTCCTGGAGGAGTTGCGGAAGAATATCCATGCCCGGCAGTACCAGTACTGGGCAGTGGTGTTCGAGTCTGGGGCGGTAGTACAGCAGCTGTGCAGCGTCTGTGTCTTCATTGTCATCTGGTGGTACATGGACGATGGGCTGCTGAGCCCACAGTGGCTGTTTGGGGCAGGCCTGATCTCTTCTCTGATTGGCTACATCCTGTTTGATGCAATCGATGCAGGGGCAGGGAGGAAGGAGAATAGGCGGACACGGTGGGCGGACCTGAAGAGCACCCTGGTGTTTGTAGCCTTCACCTACGGCTTCTCCCCGGTGCTGAAGACTCTGACAGAGTCAATCAGCACAGACACCATTTACGCCATGTCTGTCTTCATGCTCCTCGGCCATCTGATCTTCTTTGACTATGGGGCCAATGCAGCCATTGTCTCCAGCACACTGTCCCTGAACATGGCCATCTTTGCTTCTGTGTGCCTGGCCTCCCGGCTGCCCCGTTCCCTGCATGCCTTTGTCATGGTCACCTTTGCCATCCAGATCTTTGCCCTGTGGCCCATGCTGCAGAAGAAGCTGAAGGCGCAGACACCCCGCTGCTATATAACGGTCACTGTGGTCTTTGCCTTGTCTGCGCTGGCTGGGTTGCTGACCATCTCCAGTGTTGGTGCTGTTCTCTTCACCCTCCTGCTGGTCTCCATTTCCTGCCTGTGCCCTTACTACCTTATCAGGCTGCAGTTGTTCAAAGACAACATCCATGGACCTTGGGATGAAGCTGAAATTAAAGAAGACCTCTCCAGGTTCCTCATGTAGGCTCATCCTTGGTGCTCAGAAGGCAGACTTTGCTGTTTGGAAGGACAGGCAGGACACCACAGCTGCCACCAACACGACAGACTTTGGCCTTGGAGACATCTTGAGTGATGAAATTTCAGGAAAAAGGGTGGGTGACGTATACCCTTATAACAAAGTGTCATGTAGGTCAGAATAAAAGAAATTGCTTTGTGCTGATAACTTTTGTCCAAGATCCTGTTGAAAATACATGTATCACACTTGTTATTACTAGCTCAGTTGTAGCGCTCAGTAGTAATGAGGGGACCACTGGTGTTGAGAGGAGTCCAGGCCAACATTTTAACTACCATGTAATCTCACCCCCCTCAGACCACGTCTACCGTCTACCACTACTACCATGGCAGGGAGCTCAAAACCAGTCAATGGCCACCACTTCCTTATCTATGCCAAGGCTGCTGTGGCTGCTGCTGGCAGAGTTAAACTATTGGTGTGCCCGTCCTCAGTTGGAAGGGATAGTGAGGCAGGAGCCAGTGCTGTGAGAGGGACACTGGTGATTTGAGCGCGGGTCCCTCTTTTCTCTAGAGAGTCAATTGCACGCCAATGCTCTTAACTATTTACAGTTTATTGAATTATAATATACATATTATTTTTTATTTTTATATATATATATATATATATGTATCCTAATAGGTAACAAAACTTTCCAAAAATATTCTTAGCAATATCTTTTAACAACACCAAAGGTATACAGATAAATATTTACAAACGATAAGCCAAAAACCCATTATACCAAACTAACCCAATTCCATAACATTTTTGTACAACATATTCATAATTATGATTACAATTATACAAAATATGAGGCACAGTTTTACACGATATAAGACACATTTACCCCTGGATCCCAAATAGCAAGGGGTGCTTCCCCTTTCTATGGGTCTAACTGGGAGGGAAACTTCCACCCGGGGCTTCCCTTGGGGGAGGGGGTGGAGTTGCCTTATTTCAGGAATCGCTCCCCTGCAGGAC